CCCCCACGCTGCCCCGCGCCGCCCCGCCCTGTCGCGCAGGGACAACCCCCTGCTGCTGAGCTGCTGGCTGAGCACCTACAACGCGCAGCTGCCCGAGACGGCAGCGCACGGTGGGCGGGGCGGGTCGGGCCGCGGAACGAACACCTGCGGCACAGCGAATTCTTGTGCCTGTTTGCACCTTGTCAAAAGGCCGAGGGTATGGGGCTGCGTAAAAAAGTGCAGCGGAGCGTCGGACATAAGTTCAGGCAACGCAAGTTGTCCTGTCCGCCTCCGCTGTCCCCCAAAACAACGACGCACTCTGAACCCGCAGTGACGCGCATCGTGCGCGCCGCGCTGCGGCGCGTGGACGAGGACGGCATGCCCTCGCTGCCGCCCGGCGCGCGCGCGGCCGAGTTCGAGGCGGTCGCCGAGGCGGCGGTTGTGCACGGAGTGACGTCCCTGGTGGGTGCCTGGCGGCGGGGACCCCCTAGCCTTGTGTTTTAGAGCGCATCGTCCCCCCGCTGTTGAGCGACCGCCTTGCATTCTGATTTGCCGCCTTTCATCGTCCTTGATCGCGGCCGAGCTCTGCAGGTGTCCTTTCCTGTTGGCCCGCTTGTCATTGCCCAGGGTCCTGCTTGTTTTGCCTGGCTGTTTCTGTTGTGGCCTGACTAATGTTCAACCGTCTGACCGCCCCTCCGATATCTTAATGTCTGCAATGCTGGACCTTACAGGACCGCATGTCAGCCGTCATGGATTGGCTCGGCCGCGCCAAGAGCGCCTCGCGCCCCCGTCGCCCCCGCGCCGCCGCGGCCGCCGGCGGCAGCGGCGCCGCGGCGGGCGCGGGGGGCTCCGACGAGGACGAGGGAGAGGACGACGATGACGACAGCGGCATGGGGTTTGACAGCGGCGAGGACTGGCTTGATGACGAGAACGAGTGGAGCGGGGACGAGGAGGAGAAGGAGGAGGACCACTTGGTGTCGAGCTCGACTGATGACGAGGATGATGACGAGGACGACGGATAGCTGAGGCTCCGACCTCATTGGGGGCCTCGTTTGAGAACCCCGACCTTAGTGGAATCGACCACGCCCAGGTTTTTGACTAGCGGGTGGGTTACTGCCCTTTCTGCTCATTTTTTTGTCGCTTGCTCCAGAGTTGAGGAGCTGCTCTGACGACATGTTGAAGCACGTTTTTGTGGCAGCCTTGCAACAGCAGCTGGGTCCACAGGCAGCTGCTGGGGTCACGAGGCATGATGCAGGCCCTTGGATTGAATTGATCCATCGCTGTAGACACTCCCCCGCGGTCCACATCAGTCTTGTTCAGCATGCCCTCGTCAGCTGCAACCATGGACGCTCATGGTGAGTGTGTGGTGCAGCTGTGAGTATGCAATGGTAAAAGTATGATTTGAGTATAATATCTCAGTGATGGATCTGTCGGAAGGAATTCGATCCTTCTGGGTGTGCTGGGCAGGAAGGGTGCTGCAGCGGATCTTGGTCAACACCAGGTCAGCGTGAGTTCAACATGGCATCTCGCAGCCGGCCCCAGAGCAAATAGAGCTTGTATGAAATTACACACTGTCATGTACATGTGTTGGCCCTCAGCACATCCTGCGATGGGTGCACTAGGGCAACAGGCAGAGTGGTCATGTGCACCACGCCCGACTGTCACACGTGCTGGTGGAGCGTGTGCCTTAGCCCACGTATCAGAACAATGTAATCGGGTCTCATAGGCAAGTGTAACACTGCAGCAAGTCACATACAGGCAAGCAAAGTCGTACGGTAACGATCTCGTAGCTGCAATCGAACGTTTCATGCCTTCCACCATCCCGTCAATTTCCTTTTTGAATTCGGAGCCTCCTACTTGTGCAAGCAGAAGCGCTCACACGAGGCTTGACGGCGCTTTTTTGGCTGTGCCCTGAGAGCAGCAGCGGCAGCGGGGCGCCATGGCGCCAAAGAAGGCTCAAAAGCAGCCGGATGAGGTCCTAACGCGCATTGCGATCGTCAGTGAAGCCAGGTAAGCGAGGTGCAAATGCACAAGAGGACGGCTCCTGTCCAACGCAGCCAGCGGGTCTGATGCTGATCGTTTGGGGCACGGACGCAGGTGTAAGCCCAAGAAGTGCCGGCAAGAGTGCAAGAAGAGCTGCCCCGTCGTCAAAGTCGGTAAGCTCCGCCCTGCCCGTTCCGGCCGCCGCTCGCTGCTTTGCACGCCGCATGCAGTTGTTGACGCCCCCGCATCGACCACCGCCACGCTCGCATGTTCATGCAGGGAAGCTGTGCGTCGAGGTGGTGCCCAACAGCAAGATCGCGTGGATCTCGGAGGAGCTTTGCATTGGATGCGGCATCTGCGTGAAGGTGATTGGGGTGCTGGGCAGCTGCTGCACGAAGTGCTGCGTAGGTCCTGCCTGCCACGGCTGCGACAACGGGGTGATGCTCTCGTGATGCCGTCGCGGGAGCGACCTGTCTTTTGATGGACAGTGGCAGCGGCTGTTGGCACGGTCAAGGACGATTGTGGTGCGGGGAGCGGAGCCTCGAGGGTGCAGGGGCGGCGATAAAGGCGGCGGCGCGCCGCTGGCAGCCGGCGTTGCAGCAAGGGCGCAGTCAGGCGCCAGAAAACAGGGATGATTGCGACAGTCACAGCGACGCGGCCCCCATCACGAGGAAGGCCTGGCTCTGGCGCCTGCAGGCGCTGCTGTGTTGTGGAGTCGAGCAGCGGCTGTCCGCTGCTCGGCGCTGCGACGCAGCAGTGCCTGATGGCCGCGGCGGGCTCGGCTGGGCGTTGGCTGCCTGGGGCAGCAGCCGGAGCCGCGCCCGCTTCTACCAGCTGCGCGCCCCGCGCGTTCTTGTTGGCTGTGCCCGTCCTTCATTGGGCGACTGCCTGTGTTGCTCGGACCACAGTCAACGCCGCTGTGCTCCCTCCAACTCACAATTCACATGCACGCTCACTGGCGCATGCAACCACTGAACCCCGATCCCCCAGAAATGCCCGTTCGAGGCGATCATGATTATCAATCTGCCCAAGGACCTGGACGGCCACACCACCCACCGCTACGGCCCCAACAGCTTCAAGCTGCACAGGCGAGCGGCGGGCGCCAATATGTCGGGAGAGGCAGCAGGCTCGGCGCGCCGGGGTCTTACACAGCAGCCGGGCAGCCGGCGGCTTGCGGCGCGGCGCGCCTGGAAGTGGGGGCGGCCGGAGTCGCCGTTGGCGGCTGGCTGAGTGACCGTCCTGCCCTTTGTTCGCGCCTCTGCAGGCTGCCCATGCCGCGGCCGGGGCAGGTGCTGGGGCTGGTGGGCACCAACGGCATCGGCAAGTCCACCGCGCTTAAGGTGACGGGGCGCGGCACCCGGTTGGGCGCTGATGCGGTTGCATCGAGCGCAAGGAGCTGGGGGTCGCGGGTCGGGCTGCGCTGCGCGCGTGTGCGGCGGCGCATACCCGAC